TCATTAGAACTATGTATAACACTAAACAACAACACCGTACTGCGACCCAGCCAAATGGTCACAATGACGCGGCGCCGACGCAAATAACGCCCACAACAAGAGCACAACTTGTGCTTTACCACCTCAATGATCCCACGGATCGCACCAACCAGTAGCAAATGCTAATGCACAAAATCGTTGGGTATATAGTGATGATGGGGATCGACAATGACGCTGGTATATTGTGGCGGCACACTGACACCCTTCTCCACGGCGACCGCAAAGGAGCGTGCAATGTGCTCCTGCTGTTGTTGCTCTTGTTGCTGTTGCTGGTCATGTTGCTGCAGCTGCTGCGCAACCAAAATATGTTGCTGTTGCGACTGCAGTGGATGTATGGGTTGATGATCCATTTGCGCTGGCTGTTGCTGTTGCTGCTGCTGCTGCTGCGTCTGTGATGGTGGTTGAGATTGAGCTGGCGCCTGTTGCAGTGGAGTGACGTGACTTGCAGCCAAAGCTTGCTGTTGCAGCTGGTGTTGTTGCGTGTGATGATGCGTATGCTGATGATGTTCCAGAAGCTGTAGGTGATGTTGCTGTGATTGCTGCTGTTGCGACGCGGCCGGCGCCACCATAACCGCCTGTTGATGCGAACTGCTGTCCGACAAATAATGCAATTCAAATGTATGACTCAACTCGCTGTACGTCGTCTGCGGAGAAGTGCCGTTCACTATCGACGCATTGCCCGTGGACATTTGTCGATCGCTCTCCGAACTGCTGGAGCAGCTGTTGGAATTCGCGGAGTACGGCCTGTTAAGTGCTACTGTTGCTGACGCTGATGAAATATCTACCGCCGCATCATAGTAGTAATGTTCGCTGCCTGAGTTGTTATTATTGTTGACTGTGCTAGCAGTGCCAGCGCCGTAGTACCCGCCGCCGCCGCCGGTGGTTGTGTCCGGGTATTGTATCTCATGACCGAGCGCGCTGCCCGAAGAAGAGCTGACGACTAGATCGTTGATCGGCGGGAAGAGCGGCGTATAGGTGAGGTTATCGTGTTGCGGCGGCACTTCGTGGGCATGGGCGTGCGCGTGCGGATGCGGATGTATGTGATGCATATGATGCGCATGCTGCATATGTAAATGTGGCTGTTCATGCGCGTGAAGATGCGGTTGATGATGATGCGGATGTGGATGCGTATGCTGCGCATGCATTAGATGTGCCGACATGTAGGCATTATTGTTGTTATTATTGCTATTGCCGCCGCCGCCACCACCGCTGCTGCTGCTGCCGCCAGTTAGGACTGGTGTGAGCACATTGGGTGGTAAATGAACGCTAGCGCTCTCATAACAGGGATCCAGTTTAGGACTTACGCTGAGTGCGGCACAGCTGGGTGATGCGCCCGCTGCAAGGCCGTTGCTGAGCGCCGGGTGTGTGACAGTGGCAGGCGCACGCGTCGTACGCAAAGATGGCGTCAACGCAGCCGAAGCGGTGATTGGCTCACTCTTAACCACACCCGTTTGGATTTCATTGAGAATCAAGTCTTTGGCCTCCTGCTCACTGCAAAGGTGGATGAAAAAAGGTAAGAGAATAAAGAAAAACGGAATTAGTAGAGAAACAATGAATACAAAAGAAAATAACATCGGATATGTATGTATGTATGTGGGCATGTAAATAACGATGTATGTGTATGTGCGGGTCTGCATGTAAGCAATTGCCGTTATACATACAGAATTCTTTCGAAAACTCAACTAGGATCATAACAGACGTCCCAAATAGATGAGATGGACGCTATAAGTTAAAAAAATTCTCATCTCGCTCATTTGCGCCCACGTTCGACGACGAAGGATTAGGCGTCCAAGGAGCCCTTCCATGCGGGCTGGGAGCGCACATACGAACGCTGCCTCAGTCACAATGGTGATCTCATTGTCAAGGTGGGAAACGGAATAATCCTTTATTCCACCGTTTGACAATTCAGCTTCCACTATGAAATGCCCGATAACGGCTCGAAGTTTGATCGACTTCGATGGGCCCCGAAACAGCAAGCTACGTGGCTACCTCCAGATCAAAAACGAAAAACCAAATCGGTCTTGTTGTGATAGGCAGAAGACACCCTTCCAGTGTTTCAAGACACGCTCTCAGTATTTAAGACGTGCGTACGATCCGAGGAAAAACATAGTCTTCGACTACTATCTGGATGCAGCCAAGATGCGCACCAGTCTGTGCAACAAAAAATGTCCATCCAACAACGCAAGGAAAGCTGCAATCACAACAGACTGCCAGCGTCCTCGGCACTCGACTCTAATATCTTTTCGCTGAGAGCACCACATTTTCTGGTCATTACGTACCGCCGCCGGCGAAAGGGTTGGATTTCAGTGAGTCCGAAAGAACAGTTTGTAGAGAGACAAGATGCCGCGTACTAGATAACGCTGCGAATGAGAAGCCCTAATACGTGACTACGAAAAGCTTGAAATGCTGAGCGGTATAGGAAAACCCCCGAAAATTGTATTAGAAAGTTAGGCGACTTACGACATGTTTCAATACCAGGACGAATTTCTGTAAGAACAAACTCGGAAACCTAGTAAACAATATCCTGAGTGCGCGTAAATTATGGAGGCAACGCAAATTTACAACTAAACTAATATTTAACTCAGTTGTTGTTATTTTTATCTATTCTAAAAGGTTCCCAAGTAATTCCAGCAAAGGCGATTTAGACGCGAAAAACAAATGTTGCCACGTCTTATTTTGTTCAAAGCAGATACTTGGATACCTAATTACATGTAGTTATGCCAACCCCAATGAAGTGTCTAACTGCCGTCCCTAAATTGGAGCCCTAAGCGTTGCGTTATCCATTGTCAAACAGTGTCATCGCGCGCTATACCCAAATCAATGCGTCGTCAATTTTGACGTTTTCTCAGGTCCTCTCGTTTTTATTCTTATTTCCTCTTTCACTTTTTTGTCCTTTCTCTTTCTCTTCGTCTTCTGCATCCAACTTCAGCACGTAACGCCCTGTCAAAAATGAAAATTCCATTTGCTCGGCGTTAGCGCCGCGTTATTGTGGGATGCTTCATACAAATTGTATGGTCATGAGGATTTTTGACAGTTGCTTGGCGCTTGACGCGTCAATTTAGGGATGGCAGTAAACTGCGAAGGGGAGACCAGTCAGTAGCGAAATTGCTCCCATACAGTCCCGCCTGCTCAATGACGCCCGAATATTATTATCTTAAAAGTTAATGCAAAAATTATAAAATCTTCATCTTCGTGGAAAAGAATTAGTAGTTCATAGCGCCCAAAGTAATGAGAGTTGCATCTTAAAATTTTGTTCA